CTTTCTTTTCTTGGAAGAGCTGCTTTTATTTACGATAATGGCGGTCCCCGCGCCACTACTCTCATCTCGAGGTTCCTCCACGTGTTCATTATCAGATAAATTCATCATCACCGTAGCTTCAGCCATCGGTTCTCTTGAGTTATAATTTTCACCACGCTGAAAAATTCCTCTGTCTTTCAAGCGCCGAGAAAGAAAACTGATCTCGTTTACCTGGACCGGAAGTCATAACATAGTACACCTGAGTAGTTGTTTTTTAACTTCCGGTGGGGGAGCGAGTTAAATGCCAACGAGAGAAAGAAATCCTAACGAACATATGTCAGGTAGGTTTTTAATTTATGAAATTAAAATTAGTGCGGTAACGGAAGAGTAAAATGGTGATTCTTATCACAGTTTTATTTTTTCATAATACACGGCTCAAATTGGTATACACCTAGAGAAACAATTTAACTTTAATTTTAGACTAATCGTCAAACAATCGAATGGTGCAGTGTAAGAAAAACGACGTTTTGTTAGCAAAATTTACATAAACGTTGGACTCTACGAGGCATGTAATTTTGACCTGTTATCTAAAAATCGTAGGCAAATATATTTATTTCGTATTGGAATCAAACAGCACATACAACATGTTAGTCATTTACATAGGAGTGCTTTTGCATGCTTTAGATGTGGGCTTCTCCCCTTAAAATAGAAACTAGAAGGTATGAAAGGAAAGAAGTTTATGGGAGGACATGTTTTAACTGTAACTCTATTATTGAAGATAAAATTCATGTCATTTTAAAATGCCCATTTTATGTAGATTTATGACAAATCATGATACACGAAGCTATATTGATATACGTTTTAGTGAACGTTTTCACCTACTTTCAGATATTGAACAATTTATATGTTTATTTAATGATGAGAATGTTGCTACTGTAGTTGCCAAAACCTGGCAACATCATTTTATTGAGGAGAAACAGTATTTTATTTCACTAGTTTTAAAAGAAACAAAATGTTTTACATACATGTATTATAAATAAACATTGTAAATTTTAAATGTAAATGTGTAAAAATGTAATATATATATTGTTTCTTTAAAGTCTCTCATAAATCTGTTTTAAGATTGATGCATACGTTACAAATGTTTTATTTGTTTTATAAGTTATTTTGTGAATCTTATTATATGTTTGTATGTGGTGAGACTCTAATAAAATATTAACTCTGAATCTGAATCTACTATACAAGAAAGCACTAATTAATAACTCGTTAAGTTACTAATACAACGTGATAATTCAACAAATCCTCTTTACAGTGACATAATTTTTAATCATATAAGATTTCTTAAAAAGACTTAAAGGGGCATTAGCTGTCAAATTCATGTTCACCGATTTGACTCAAATTCTCATATTTGATTTATAACATACTAAAACGTATATCCAAATTACAATTAGTCTGAAATAAACAATTAACAATGCATGGATTCGGTAATATATATCAGCATTTCGTGTGTATTTTAGTCTAGACGCCATCTAATTAACCATCGAAGACTGCCGACGATCACATAACCCGATATAAACATAAACATAAATATAAAAAGATAGCGACCTCGTGCAATTGGACTTTTCTATGTCTGTTTGATTTCATAATATAGGTTAAGAAAATAAGTTAATCATCGTTTTTATCTGTATAAGAATGATTTTTTGTGGATTGAATCAGTCAATGAAATGGTTCACCTTTGTTTCACTTTCAATGTTGACATATTTTTCCTTTTGATAGCTGAACAAGACTTATACATGCGTAAACCAATCTCTAGCTAATGGGTTAAATTTAAGGTCACATGAATATACGGATTCAATGAGGTCGAATTATTCACTTGCAAGTGAATAATTTATCAGCGATGTTTCTTATCTTATTTTGACAAAATTAAACTAAACTGGCTGCTAAAAGCGAATTATTATTTCACTATTTCACTTTCATTAATGATTGAACAAAAAAAGTCTTATTTTAATTATATTTATTTTTATATGTCGTAGCTGTTTTTAAATAGCATTCATACTTAATTTTCCAGAAAGTCGTGTCCGGTCTCCGGTTGATCGAAACACTTGTTAGCCTGATTGCTTTTGAACTTCGAGCGCACCATTATGTTCGATAACTATATAGCTATCATCAATTGATTTTATTTGTATTGGTTCAACTGTTCAAAATCCTTGATTTCTTTGATTATTTGGGTGTCGTTTTTTTTTTTTTTTTTGGGGCTGTGTTGATAGTATTTTATTCATTTAAGAGGCAAATTAGTTTTAAGATTTAAAGATGTACTTAGGTGAAATTAAAAAAATCTAGAATTTAATATTGATATTATTAGTCAGAAGAGCATTAGTTAAGGAACAAAATAAGCTGAAAATATTGAAAGGTTATGGAGCTCCTTTTCGAGATATTTAATTTTTTTTTAAATGGCGGGAAAAGGCTGACTCGGACTTTTACCTTATATTTGCATTGGTATTATTTGGATCTCAAATCGAAAGAAAAGAAATCTAGAATCTGCTTAAATTTTGGTAAATGACCTTCTATGAGCTATTGAAGTCTTATATGAAAAGAAAAATGGGTGTTATAGGGCAAAATATTTTACCTTGTATCGAAGGAAAAAAACAAGGAGTCCTAACATCTGACAAAAATTCCTAAACCTCACCTAAATACATCCTTAAGTTATATTTAGAAATTGAGATACCATGCTAAAAAACGAGGGATTTCACAAAATACAGCATAGAAAGACTGAGGAACAGGGGGTCCTTAAAAAACTGTTAATATGATAATCGAGGTTAAGAGATCGTTACGACAATTGGAACATATCCGTGGTCGTCTATGACACAGATATCCAATAACGGTCAACACACATGTGATTGCGTTCGTAAAGCTTTCAAAACGGTATGACTTAAACTTAACTACTTGGAACTCTTGGTTCACTAGCTTCCTTGTTAGCAGCAACCCTTTAGCAAAGAAATCATAATAGGAAACGCAAACTTTGGAACAATGTATCAACTGGGAGATATATACTGCATATGCAATCCTGCTGGAATGTTGCTACATAGATATGAAGAGATTTAAAGTTTACAATTTTGAAGCTGAATGATTCTTTTTATCGTAAAGTTTAATTTGTTATCAACCGACCCTCATTTTCAATCTCTGGATTTAAATCAAGATATGAGGCAGACTTAACTGCTTCTGTGGCATCCTTTGTTCCGAGTTCGATAGGGTAGACGCCTTCAACATAGTAACCCAACTTTAAAGTATTTAGTGAGAGGCCATCGGCTACATAGCGGAACGAGAAGTCAAAGGATAATCCTAGCTTATATTCATTCTTCCTGAGAAGCTCCTGTATGAAGTCTGCTTCATATAGATACAGGAACAAGTCGACAATAAGAGGAGCATAGTTCGTTCCCGTACGAATGTTTTGTTGAAAAACACGGATTCCAAACGTAACAAATATGTGGTCGATAAATGAATCAAGCATCTTAATAATATCAGATTCAGAGAATTTTAGTTTGAATCAGAGTGATTTTTTATAAATATAATTTATCCCTTCCTTAAACAAGATATTCGTATCTACAGCGGCCATTCTCTTAAATGAAATACAATTGAACTTATTCTCTCAATCTGTGTTTTAATTATTTTTTTATCTCTAAAAGGACAATAATAAACGTAAGTTGAAGACAATCAGACCATACCATGGTAAAACAAACCATGAAAAGTCAAACAAGACAACAAATCAGTACACAGAAAACTAATAATTGAGGAATACGAGCCGTAATGTTGCTCTTCATAGTTCTTTTGAATGAAACTATATCTTTTTGCACAAAATTCAACTGAACTGAATTGAATATTTTTTTAAAGAAAAAAAATTATTAGAAATTGAAATTCATTGTAAGTTTCACAAAATATCGATGATTATGTGAATAGAAATACGTTAAAGGTGTATTTAGGGACATACAAATCTATAGAAACTTATAACAAAAAAACAACATGATCACGTTTTAAAATGTCAAGAAAAGGCCATCTCAAATGAGATTTTTTAAATCATTTTTTGTTTAAAGGTTTGTATTTTACAAAATAACACCAGTATCAATTCCACGTTTTATGCAGCTACGTCGAATTTGGCAAAGCTTCAGATCTTCATTCCGTAAGTCTCCATTTTGTGGAGAATTCAACTGTCTTCGAATCACTTTTATAATTTAAGTGTTTGTTTTCCTGCAATTGATACTGTTGAAAATGCCTGTTAACTTCTTCAAAATAAGATTTTGATCACCATAGTTAATATCACTATTTTCAAACGAACCCCTGCTGATCCCTGCTGCATCATATATTACACGTATACACTAAGCGTCTAACTACTAGACACTTTGCAAAACAATTTTTTCTAAAAAAAAAAAGTGGATCAACATCAATTACAGATATCTTTGAATTGTACAAGACCAACAAAAAAGTTACATGCTGAGGCGTATTGTATTCATACTAAGGGCTGATCAATCTTTGCTCTTATTCCTACCTAAATAGCAGTAAATACCAATATCAAAGCCTTTTTGTTGAACATATCCGAGGACTCGAAGCAAAAGACATAAACATACAAAGTTCAATCAATAAAAACATGTGACTTGTGAATAACAGATACTGATAAAACAAAATCCATAGACACCAACTTCTAAATAGATGAAGAAAAAACAAACTTTAAATAAATTAACACAAAACTAAAGAGGTCGATTTTGCTAATTAGCTGTCTGAAATTTTACCAATGTACAATATCAACTACTTGGTTGCTTATTCATTAAAAAAAGTACTCAAAGTGAACTATTTTTTTGGATAATTATCCAAACGGAATGTCAATGATTTCTGTCACTTCAATTTTCTAGAAGATCTTGTCTTGCTGCTATTGTTTGCAGTTTGAAGGTCCTCTCTATCTATTATATTTTACATTATTTTTTTAATCATTGCACTGGAGACAGACAGATGGCATGTTAAAAATCAGCAAGAAAAACATAAACATTTAATAAACTAAGTTTTCATTCGTTTCATACATGTTAGACATATTAAATACAACATCTGATATACCGGTAGGCATGAATGTAATAAGTCACATGTGAATCTGCCAATACACATGTATCCAAGAGCTAGAAAGATTCTAAAATGATGGACAGTATCGATGCAATGATATATCCATATGCATATTAAGATATTAATTGTAATGTTTACATTGCTAACGAAAATTGTTTTAGAACACTCTTGGTCCACCAAAATGACTGTACTATAAACTCTTAAATATTAGTAATAATTTGTCTGCGTGTACACAAATCCACAGTAAGGCAAAGAAGAAAAACCCAAGCAGAAGTATCTGTAGCGCTGACTTAACATAATCCATTTTGCCTACAATAGAAAGAAAACAATTGTAATATGGTATAGATACATAAAGTGTCTTGCTTCAGTTTATTGCTTAGTTTAAACATATCTTATTTGCCTAAAATATAGCAAAAAGGAAAAGATACAAATTTAATCAAACTAATCCTTTCCTTAGGAATTATGAATACGCGGTTATCGCCCTTTCTATGCATGCATAGCAGTAGTCTAGACGGTAACCCTGTCGACGCACTCGGTCTCGCTCCTGGTTTTTTTTTATCTTGATATACTTGTTCACTCTATGACAAGTCACACAGTTAACCTGTAACTAGTAACAAAATGGCACTAGTTGACATAGGTAAAGGGGTTCGATAGCTTACTCTCAGAGAAGTTCTAGATGTTGTTAGTGAAGAAAATTGAATTCTAAACGTCGATGGAATGAAACATTATCAACGCCAATTGAAAAAGTTATACCAGATCCTAGGTCAATGTAAGGTGTCAGACCACCAATTCAAAATACCTATCTATTCAACCAAATTTTGCAATTTTCACAGCTTTCTTAATATTTTACCTTAAGTTAAACTTTAAAAACAAGCTCAAATAATTCAGTAAATGCCAAAAGTAATGAAATATGGGATGATTCTTTTTTATTGTGTATACATTGAGAATTTGTGCATTTGTTGTAAATTAAGCAAGTGTTGTTCTTTTTTGTGAAATGTCTTGCCAATGTAGAGAAAACTTTTTGAACTCTGAATTAAAGTGTATTCTAATTAAAAATGTAGCACTTTACAAATAGTGTGTATATATATATATATAGTAACAATAACTTTATATCTGTATTAATATAGCAAACGTCAACATCTAATGATATATTACACAATATTTACTCACATAATAAGCATGTCAATTTTTAATCCAGGATCTCTATAACCAAACAATCCTCTCCATCTGTAACCTATGTAAAATATAACACTTATCGATCAAACCAAGATATTTGATGCGCTAGCGTAATAATATATTTAAATTATTATTCCTGATTAAATGACGTATAAAATAATCACGCATGAACAATTCTTAATTCATTCTATCTGATATGAACATAGACAAGTTTAAAATTTCATCCCATGAAAAGATCGAACATAAGCATACTTAGTGGAAACATATGTAAAGTGGGATGTGTGATAATGCCATAATATACATGTATATATTGGAACGATTAAATGGAAAATTGAATAAAATGTTTACTCACGATAACCATTGATTCAATGATAAAATGTCTTTATTCCATAAAATATTTACAAACAAAAATTTACCAAAACAAACAACAGGTGCTTATAGTTAGTTATCTTGTTGTTGACGTGTTCCATACAGACTAGTCCCAAATGCTTTTATCGCAAAATTTTAAGTACGTTTCAATGTAATCAAAGCCTAAAGTACAACCGATCTATTCACAGTAATCTTCCAGTTCAAAGTTGTGAGTTTGTCTTCTCTCTGTTAGACTAATTCGTCCAAAACGAGTTTTTTTGATAATTCCAAAATACAAATGTATAAAATCCTAATTATTTTATAAGATAATTATATAACTGTCTGGGTATTGTGGTTTTTTTCAGTTTAAGCATTTTAATATTGGGTTTTATCTGTACATACAGTTATCAAATATTGTCTTAAATATAAGTTTTAACTTCACTGAAGAACTTTCTGTAGCATGATTTCATACAAAACTTCTTTGTTTAGATATTGTATTGGGTTTTCGATGCGATATAGAAGTTACGCGCTAACGCGACATTAAGCAATTTATTATTATACAATGTAATTATATAAAAACAAAATCAATGATTTTCAAACAAAAATTTTGATGTAATTTATATTTCATCGTAAGAGTGTATTACATTATCTATTGTAATTCTCCCTAAGCCTTTTAATCGTTCGGACATTAATATATCTGTGAGAGGATTTATTATGACAGTAAAGGAGTTATAATCGAATGTTAAAGATTTATTACAAGTCCAATCTTTACGCCAATTCATTTTATCAGTTTGAAATGTAAATGAGAACACTGAACTGGATTAATATAGGTTTTAGCTATAAATCATACCATGTCATACATGTATAACGTAATTCATAAAGTTGACATATATTTCCCTGTTAACCAAACAAAATTTAACTTACGGCCTGTAAAAGGTTAAAATGCCATAATTAGATGTAAACTATTTACAAATTTATGGCATAATACAAATTCAGGGCACATCAAAACTAAACCTTGACGGGAACACCCTTTTCAAATAGCATACGTACTAGTATTATCATCGGCTTGATTGGTATTGCAAGCTAAGACTAAAAATCAAATTACAATAATTATTAAAGATGTAGTACAATTACTATATATATATTTTTTTTGTTGGAAATTTTAACCCTGTTACAAAAAATCAACATGATACATTTAGGTAAAAATGAAATCTAAACATACCTGTGCAGCGTCAGACATATATCTACCTGTAGAATTGTCAACAATACTTACACGTGTAGTATATTCTAAAACATCCGTAATTACTCAGGCATGTCAAAAACGTTACACACAACACGCTATTGTTCTGTCATTTAACGGTGAAAAATAATCTCGTGGCAATCAACCAAAAAAATATTTTACTGTTACATACAGAAGAAGATCATCATCAACTTATTTATAACCTTTGGCTAATGTAAGCAAAAAGAAAATGGATGTTAATTATAAGTATTTTAAAACATACATAAATAAAGAAAAAAAAGTAAAAACTAAATAATGATATCAGATGCAGGTTAATGTTGGCGTGTGTCCAGATTTAACTCTGAAGGGATGAATTTCATCCAAGTTACCATGATACAAGTAACGACATCTCATTTTTCTGGCTAATTCATCGAAATCATGTAATAAGTCCTGCTTTGCCCTTTTGACTGACGGTGAAGGAATGAATTTCAAACCTCTGGATAATACCAAATACTCGCCACTAGTTAAGTTTCTATTCGAAAGATTAACAACCTGTTTTCTAGCTTGTGATAGCATAAATTTTAGCTTACTTAGCTGCATTGCAGCTTTATTTTTCAGCCTTCGTTTATGTTTATTTCTTTTAGCATATTTCTTATAATGTCTAGCCATATGATAATACAAAATAAAAAAATAGTGGACGACATGATAATGATAATTGTATACTATTATAGCTTAAAGAATAATAAAACAGGGTTGGCATATTTTATTAAGTCATATCCTGTAATTATCCTTAGTTGTCTTGTCCATGTAGACCTATTAGATCAAAATACTGGACCGGTTGTATGTCTTTCCTTTTGATTGTATTATCTAACGAAGCATCAATAAAAACAAGAATTTAAGGAAGTTCTTTTAATAAAAAAAAACCTAATTAATTTGGTTCAGAGTCTTTATAATTTGTGCTTAAATCAGTATAGAGACTAGCAAATTATAATTTTGTGAAACATTAAGCAACATCAGCAATCATTGACGAGATGCAGGACTTGAAAAATATATACACATACATATGCACACACACAAACAGACAAAGTTCTTGGTGCTGTTTATATTTTTCATAACAGGTCAGTAAAATCTAAAATGATGAGCAGATCAGTCTGTCTTTTCTGATCATACACACCTGTATCTAATCATACACACCTGTATCTTAGATTCTTTTATAAGAGGCAACAGTACTTTACCGATGTTTAAAATTTGCAAATCCTGAATATTCAAACTAAGTTAACAATAATAAACTGATAAAATCGTAGCGAGACCTGATGATTACACAGCCGGAAAACATCTCCTGGTATATCATGTGCATCACCGCGATGTCAATCCACTTTCAAAATGCCACGATAGGGAAAAGGTCGCATTCTGTAATTTGACAGATCGGACAACTATTCTAATATCTTAAGATCCAAGACCGAAAAACATGTCTCTCGTGAGTTGAGACACAGACAAATAAAAGTTAAAGTACAAGTAAAATATAAACGAGTGGAAAAAGTTAGTAAAACAATGCACTCCAACACATAGACAAGTATACAAAATACGTGTACCTATAGCATATCAAAATATTATAGTTTAAACATATTTCATTGTCGAAATAAAATAGGAAAAATGGATCGGATACAAGTTATACAACTTAGAATTGTCTTCTCCATTACACAAATATAATTACTTTTTAAAAACAACAAAAGAGTTTTTGTATATTATATATAAATAAACAAAGAAGGAAAACAATGTCACGGACGCTTATGTTTATATATTTTTATTATATTTCAATAATCTGTACTTCATAAATATGAACTGAAAAAAGGTGGGAGAAATCCGTTTGCGCCAAAATTGCGTCCTTTTTGCGCCACAACTCGTCTACATTGCTTGGAGATTTCAACGGACGGACAGCAGACGACGACGATTTTATTATTATACATAATGATAAACATACCAATAATCGAACAGATTTTATAGAAAATAAAGTGTATATGCTTGACGAATCAAATAAAGTGTATATGCTTGATGAATCAAATAAAGTGTACATGCTTGATGAATTAAATAAAGTGTATAATGCTTGACGAATCAAATAAAGTGTATATGCTTGACGAATCAAATAAAGTGTATATGCTTGATGAATTAAATAAAGTGTATATGTTTGACGAATTAAATAAAGTGTATATGCTTGATGAATCAAATAAAGTGTGTATGCTTGATGAATTAAATAAAGTGTATATGCTTGATGAATCAAATAAAGTGTATATGCTTGATGAATCAAATAAAGTGTATATGCTTGACGAATCAAACAAAGTGTATATGCTTGACGAATTAAATACAGTGTATATGCTTGACGAATTAAATACAGTGTATATGCTTGATGAATTAAATAAAGTGTATATGCTTGATGAATTAAATAAAGTGTATATGCTTGATGAATCAAATAAAGTGTATATGCTTGATGAATCAAACAAAGTGTATATGCTTGACGAATTAAATACAGTGTATATGCTTGACGAATTAAATACAGTGTATATGCTTGATGAATTAAATAAAGTGTATATGCTTGATGAATTAAATAAAGTGTATATGCTTGATGAATTAAAAAAAGTGTATATGCTTGATGAATTAAATAGAGTGTATATGCTTGATGAATTAAATAAAGTGTATATGCTTGACGAATCAAATAAAGTGTATATGCTTGATGAATTAAATAAAGTGTATATGCTTGACGAATCAAATAAAGTGTATATGCTTGATGAATCGAATAAAGTGTATATGCTTGACGAATCAAATAAAGTGTATATGCTTGATGAATTAAAAAAAGTGTATATGCTTGACGAATCAAATAAAGTGTATATGCTTGACGAATCAAATAAAGTCTTTGGACAGGGTAAAAAATAGATACGGGAAACGATTGTTAGATTTTGCAAAGGAAACAATATATTTATTGTAAATGGTCGAATTGGTGACGATAGACAGTATGGTAAATCAACGTGTAGAAATAGCAGCATTGTAGATTATTGTATTAAAAGTGCTGATTTGTTAAAATATTTTACTAATTTTCATGTACTTGATCTTTCCACTTTATATTCTGATATTCATTCCCCATTAGAGATAACTTTGGCGAACACTTAACAAGCTGTTGAAAGTAATCAATGTTTAAATGCTGGAACAGATACATGCAACCGTCCAGAAAATATAAATCAAAGTACTGAAGTACTGATCATCGGATGACTGCAAGTTCTTGTGGATGGTCACAAGCACTTGTCCCAGAAAAAAAATCACATCTCTATACGTGAAAGTGAGGTTAATGTACAAATATATTTTTTTTTCTTAGACAAGTTCGTGCGTGGATGATAAATAAATGACAGGGAATTCAACCTCACCGTAATAAATGTTATATTGAAGTGATACAAATCAGTATACTCTGGTTTGTTGTTATATATTATATTAATATTTGTATATTACAGTTACATGTATATATAATTTTCATCCATTTGTATATTATTCTATTCTACTATATTATTAATAGTGCAGTGCAAGTGCATGGTGGACACTCTTCTGTAATGATCCGATTTTTCTAATAGATTGGATTTGAGTAGGCATTCATATTTTCCCGCCAAACTTCCAATCTCCCATGCAGAGTTATCGGTCGTTGAGAGAGAGCGAGGACCGATAACTCTGAATGGGAGATTGCAAACGTTCTTGACACATTCTTCCGCATGCGTTAACACACATTTTCTGTACGTGTGCATAGATATTGAAGATTTTTTACTTATATAAATATATTTCTAACGACAAAACATTTTCATATTATTAATTTATGTTCTAAAAAAAATACTTTTAGGAGTATCCATTGAAAAAATGAATTTATAACAAGCGATAAGGAATGTTATTTTGCACTCGATGATGTCCGCGTATTGATCATGTTTATTTATCGGTTACAATCCCAACACGAAAGTTACGTAATGGAAATCTAGGCGACAGCAATACACCGGAATGCCCTCACGGTCATCCGATGTAAAAAGTGGGACAATGATAACACTTTGGATTTTCAAAATGGGATAGACGTGGAAGAGGTTTACGCTCTAATTGAAGAGATTGATAAAGTTGAAGCAAATATGAACAAAATGAATAGAACCTGGTTGTTAATAACATGTGTGACTTATTTTTGGACTATGCCAGGGCAACATTTTGGGTTACTAAAACTAGCGGTTCGAAGAAATCTAAAAACAAGCCAGTGCAATTGGATAAAGAATGGTTTGACAGTGACTTCGCCAAAATTATCACAAGCTCAAAAGAAAATTTAAGAACAATAGATCAGAACAAAACTGACAAATTATGAAATCTTCTGAGAAACAATATAAAAAGACTTTAGACAAAGCAATTATTTCAATAGAAAAAAAACGGCTACAAAATAAACATATTGAGATCCAATAACTCAAAAGAGTTTTGAAAATTGCTGTACAGTTAAAAAAAAAGAAAAAGAGACCAACCCAACCTCCATATTACCAAATTGTTTATTTTTTTTCAAAAACTTGAACGCCGCCCCAGATGATGAAGAAAATACAAATATTCCAACTCTAAACCCGAATGATGTTGATAGGCTTAATGAAAATTTAAACACGAGAATTTCAAAAGACGAAATTCTTAAGGGCATTCAACGGAGCTTGAAGAAAAACTTGACATATTTTTAAATCTTTTTATTATTCTGTATGTTGATGATACTGTTTTGATGGCCGAATCCGCAACTGAACTCCAAAAACTTTTAGATTGTTTCCTAGATTACACAGATGTATGGAGGCTAAAAGTAAATGTTGATAAAACAAAGGTCGTGGTTTTTTCAAGGAGACGACAATCATGTAATTTTCAATTTTTCTTTAATGAAAAAAATGGATATCGTTGATGAATTTAACTACTTGGGTATAGTTCTAACAAGAACAGGCAATTCTAATAAGACAAAACATGTAGAAAAGTCTACTATAGGCTCTTTACGAAGTGTTAAGACTCGGTCGTCTACATAATCTTTCTATATGTAGTCAGTTGGACTTATTTGATAAAATGGTGAAACCAATATTACTGTACGGTTGTGAAGTATGGGGTATTGGAAATAATGACATATTTGAAAGGGTACATCTAAAATTTTGTAAATTATTATCAAGTCTGAAAACATCAACACCCTCTTTCATGAT